CATTAAAGTTATTTTACCTTTCCTTTACGCATTTGCCAATTGGAACTCTTATGCTTCCATATAAAGTTACATATATCAGTTTTATATCAAGAATGTACTTTTATTACTAGAAACTAGCCCACTTTCCAATAATATTTTCTTTTCAAGGCGATTAGGCTTTCTAAACAGGGAGATTTCTGAGATAGGAGAAAAGCAAAATCTGAAAGTATAGTTACGGATTTGGTATTTAAATAGCTAATGTTAGTTGAATTGTAAATTAAATGGTTTTATTTCCTGCGCGGTGCAGCTTGTGACGAATATTAAAAGAAAGCTAAGCCGGAAAATTGAAAATACAAGAGCGCGTGCATTTAACATTTAATAAATCTCTCTTTTTGATTTCGAGAAAGTACTAGAAAATTCTCGCGCGCGATTTTAAAATCTTATAAAAGGAGGAAAAACCTCTCAGTTGGTAGTTAGTTTTTAGTTTGTTGTTGTTTAGAAAACTGCTCTTGTTGACTGTAGCGAATTCGCGGATTAGCTTTCTTTAGCTGTTTTGAACTACGTTCTATTGGACATTTGAGTAGTTAGAAGATAAGTACTGTGAGATATTGTAATACTGCATGATAATTTGAGGAAATTTAAGCATTTTTGTTGTGATAATAATAAATTTTTGTTCATTTTTCATCGGACTTGTGCATTCATTTCGTAACGAACCCGATGCACACAACAATTTTTGGTGTCAGGAGTGGGGTATTGAATGCCAATCACAAGAGCGATGAAGAACAGTTAAAACAATTCATGGCAGCCTTTGCTGCATTTAAAGAAGAGATGAAAGACTCTGCTAAAGGAGAAATGAAATCGGGACAGAAAAAAAATGGAAGAATCTGTTAAAAACGAGATTAAAGCAGTTAACGAAGAAATGAATTCTAATCAGGAAAAGATTGGAGCAGGACAGGAAAAGACTGAAGCAAGACAAGAAGAGATGAAAAGAGAAATTACCAGCGTAATAGAAAACAAATTCGAGGTTATGGAAGGCAGAATTGACTCAGTTGAAAATAAAGTTGGACAAATTGAATAAAAAGTCTTTTCTGTGAAAGAGAAAATAGAAGACAGAGTTTCGGCCGTGGAACAACAAATAGGTTACAGAGTTTATTCTGTCAAAGAAGAAATAGAAGAAAGAATTTGTTCTGTTCAACAACAAATCGAATTTCAAATTGATGATAGGGTTTCTGCTGCCGTCGCCAAAGAAGTTGAGAGCCTAAAGAAGTGCATAACGACGGCAGGAAGCAATTCTGAAGGTTTTAAATTTCTATCTATGTCTGCTCGCACCTCTCTAAAGCGATGTACATATGATGGGAAGACATCCTGGCAACTGTGTAAGACCCAATTTTATATAGTTGCGGATGCGAATGGATGGGATTTCCAAGCTAAGGCCTGTCATCTTGCCGCTTCTTTGAGAGCAGACGCGGTGGATATCTTTCAGACTCTTCCCGAAAACAAAAGGTTAGATTTCGAAGTTCTGTCGGGCGCCTTGGAGCTGCGCTTTGGGGAGAAGTGTTTGAAAGAGTACAGCAGGCTCCAATTAAAATCTCGTCAACAGAAGCCTACCGAAACACTTCAGGAGCTCGCCACGGATGTGGAAAGGCTGTCCCATCTCGCCTTTTCGGAGTGCCCGACAGAAACAAGGGAAATTCTGTCCACTGCAATACTTTCATCGAGTTGGCATCCGGGACCCTGAAATACAGAAAGCTCTTCGAATGGCAGATGTTAAAGGGACATGAAAAGCGCTCTGTTGTACGCCATGAAGTTCGAGGCAGCCCAGCAAGCAACTAGTATAGATCGCTACCCAGTCAGAGCTGTGCGAGTCCACGAGCCAGTGGATCAACTGATGGCTCGTTTAGATGATTTAGCCAGACAAGTCGAACGCTTTGATACGGAGTAGGAGTGAGAACAAAGGGGCTCTAAGGTGTTGGAAATGTGGTATTGAAGGGCACATACGACGGCATTGCAGAACACCCCAGGGCACGGATAATAAAATAGATGATTTGACAAGACCAGTGAATGCCTTGAGACGGAATATTGGTGAGAAGAAACCAACCATAAAGTGCTGGAACTGCGGTGTTGAAGGCCACATACGAAGGAACTGCAGAACACCCCAGAGCACGGAAAATAAGAGAGGCGGGTTAAACAGACAATTAAAGGCCGTGGGGCGGAAAAAGATTGACAAGAAACTAAAGTGCTGGAACTGTGGAGCTGAAGGCGGTGTACAAAAGAATTGCAGAACACCCCAGGGTACGAAAATTGAGACCATTTTCGAGCAACGACGCAGGAAACAAATTAATGACCATATCAAGGAACGGAGGTTGCCAGATAATGAAAAACCTTGTTTTAAAGCACTCAAGATTTCTACGGTGAGTGGCAACAGTAACGGACTGTCGATCAATGGGCATATCGATGGAGTTCCTTGCAATATAATCATTGACACAGGAGCTAACGTTACCATCATTAGGAAAGGTTTAGCTGAACAGTTTAAAGATAAACTTATTTGGACGCCCTCCTGTGTTACCTTCAGACTGCGTCTGGTGACAAGATAGACATAATTAAGACATAGCTGGGAAGTTAAACGTAAACATTACGTTTGGAAGTGCCGCCTACCATCACACGGCTTATGTGGCGGATATTACAGATCCCTGCGTACTCGGATTGGACTTTTTAAGGAGATACATTCCTTAGACCTGAAAAACTACAAACTGCTTTCACCATCTGAACACATGACTATCCATCCTCAGAAGGGATCCTCACCTGGAAATGCCGATGCCTTGTCCGCAAGACCCAGCTCGGGAAGCTGCCGAAATCATACTAGGGTCGAAAAGAAACGCAAGACCACCAGCTATTCCCCATCACAAATGATCTTCGGTAGGGACCTTCGTCTGCCTTGTGACCACCTGTTTGATCGCCATACGGATGCGCCTTTATCGCCTGAGGAACACATCCAAGATGTCAAGGCCCGTTTTGAAGTGATGCACCGTTCCGCATGAAAGCGAGTGAACTTGGCGACGGAGAAAGTGAAGTCCAGATACAACACGACAGGTACTGGACATAGATCCAACAAAGGAGACAAGGTGTGGTTGTGGAACCCGATTCGATCAAAAGGAGTCAGACCTAAATTGCAGTCACCTTGGAATGGTCACCACACAGTCCTAAACAGGCTGAATGACGTCGTGGTTCGGATCCGTAAGGCTACGAACTCTGAACCTAAAGTCGTTCTTTACGACAGGTTAGGTTAGCTCATTACTATGGCCATAGTACGTAATGTAAAGAATTGTAAATAGTGTAAGACCATGGTCCTTTTTGTTTCTAAATGTGTATTTAATATTTGATTTGTATTTTGTATTTGATTTGTATTTGATAGCATTTGATTTGTTTTATTTATTGCATTTAGTGTTCATCTTGTTTATTGCACTTATGCCATAGTTGTAAGTTTGGCTTCCTGTCCAGGGATTGTATTTCCCGGGACGTGCAGTCCTTGGGAAGGGAGCAGTGTTAGGGATTTGGTATTTAAATAGCTAATATTAGTTGAATTGTAAAGTAAATGGTTTTATTTCCCGCACGGTGCAGCTTGTGACGAATATTAAAAGAAAGCTAAGCCGGAAAATTGAAAATACAAGAGCGCGTGCATTTAACATTTAATAAATCTCTCTTTTTGATTTCGAGAAAGTACTAGAAAATTCTCGCGCGCGATTTTAAAATCTTATAAAAAGAGGAAAAACCTCTCAGTTGGTAGTTAGTTTTTAGTTTGTTGTTGTTTAGAAAACTGCTCTTGTTGACTGTAGCGAATTCGCGGATTAGCTTTCTTTAGCTGTTTTGAACTACGTTCTATTGGACATTTGAGTAGTTAGAAGATAAGTACTGTGAGATATTGTAATACTGCATGATAATTTGAGGAAATTTAAGCATTTTTGTTGTGATAATAATAAATTTTTGTTCATTTTTCATCGGACTTGTGCATTCATTTCGTAACGAGCCCGTACGCACGCAACAGTATTGTTCACAAGAAAATTGTGGCTTACGTGCATTCGTATAATTGAAACTGTTTCATATTTCATATTACTTTATAAGAATACATTAGTTAAGCAAATAGAATTATAGCATGCGTTATAACAAAGCGCATAAAGGCTATCTTTAAAAAACCCTCTACACTCATGTGCGACTTTCCAAAATTCACCAATGGCGAATACCGAATATATTAATCGTTGCTCAGACTGTGAGTTACGTCTGATACATGAATATTTTAATACTTGAATAAACCAGCTGCTAATGAATACGGAATAAGTTGACATAAATTCTAAAGAGTACTCTTTTTTTTTTTTTTTAACATTTTTATATCTGCTGCCAGTTTTAAATACCAAAATTTTAATTAAAGAAAATGTTTAAATATTTGGAATACAAAATTGACGTTCCTAACAAATATTTGATTTTTTTGATGATTTCGTATCACAGACGTTTACTTTCTAGGAAATCTTCAACATAGGTCCATTCTTTTATTAAATATTTGCGCAGAATACTTACAAAAACTTCACAATTCTTATAACTGTCAAAATGTTGAGAAAGAATTTCATTTTTTCGTATTTTATCCGAATTTTACCTGTTAGCCATATAGACTTATATCTCTCTACTTTACCTCTTGACCTTATACATACATTAATAATGCAATTTTAAATCGTTAATTCATGTCTACTCTTTTTTTCACTAATGAGCGTATAAGATCATATATTACAAGAATTTAGCTGGTCTTCTCAAGGTAACGGCAAGTTTTAATAAACATTATAATGACTGGTTATTGTTACTTTTCTTCATAAAACTTTTCTCGATCGATTTGGAGATACTTGTGCATATTTTATTAAATTAAGATTTAATTGGAATGTAAAAAATTCACCTACAAGCGGAAAGCCACCTGGAGACGCTTATGCAAATTCCAGATATTTTAGCTGTAAGAGGAATTGGCAACAAGTTCATTTAACGTTCGTTTTCTAGGCCCGCTTCTTTTAAAGTGTAAAGTCAGTAATAACACTTTATATGGTATCTTTGTAGATTCGTGTGTATATAATACAGAATGTCAAAATGTTGATTGTTTGCATTTAGAAGTTTATCCTGTTAATTGATAAGGTAAGTTTTTAAAATGTCGTTGGTGTTACATAAGTCGTACTTATGAAGGTCAGATTGGCTAACGTTTATTTCCTTTGCCTTATGTTCTCAAATAACATCAGATAATAAGTTCGATAAAAGTAATTATTTTGGAACGAAAGTATGCAACGTCTAGAATTTGAGTTTCTCATTCCTTCGAGTTTGTTATGGAAATGAAGTTATGTGGATACATATTCAATTACAAACAGAATGCTGCAACTGTAAATATTAATATTAGCGGCACATTCATTAGTGAAACGCCATGCGTTTCTAAATATTCACGTACTTTATGTTGCAGGTGATTATCAAAGCTCATTGGTAATGGCTTCCAGTGCTCGCCATGATTCGTCGTCGCTACCCGACTTGAGTAAGTACATTTAAATGTTATCAGAATCTGTTACAGTTCTTGAAATAGTTACTGAAATTTGAATTGTTTTTTTTAGAATTGCAGACTTCCATTTTAGGATTTATAAATTTCATTTATGCTGTTTAATTTCTTTTTAAACCATCAAGATTAAGAAGAGAGAGGCGGAAAAGAAAGTTCTGATCTACAACATAAACCATGATATTCAAATCTAGAATTAACCATTCTGCATCTGTAATTTTTTTTTATTCTTGTCTATTAACTTTCGAAATTTAAATTATTAATTGCTCTTAAAATCAGTTAACATTGTTAAAACCAGTACTTAGAATCAAAAGCAGAAGTTAATTTAAAATGAAATGAAATTTTTTTCATTGTGTATGTATGTGTGTGGGGATACATTAATAAAGCAATTTTAAATCGTTAATCACGTGTAAAATGGTATTTTCATCACCATGTTACACAAAATTTAATTTTTTGAGTATATTTTAAATTTTTAATACCGATCTGAAGAAAATGGTTTATATTTCCTTCAAATCGACTTTTTCAGTTACTCTTGGCTCATTTATAAAATTTGAAGTTAATTGTTTAAAATTTTCTATGAAAGGTCTATTTTTCGTGAACTTTTGATAAGAGCCCTCTTAATTTTAATATTCATCTATCAGATAAAAGTTTGTATTTTTGCTAGACTAAAAAATCAATCATTGATAATTTGATATTCTTAAATTTGATACTTGCATATAATCCTGTCGATCGTTGATAGAAATTTCGGCAGTGGTTGGCAATCATTACTGTAGAATTGTAAAGAAGGAGATTATCCATAACTGTTGCTAAATCGTACTATTTCGCTGGTTGATGGGATAATTCGTATATACCTTAAATTTTTCATTAAAATCTTTTTATGATTAGAGGATAGACTTTAAAACTTTTGGTACTTGTGTGTTAACTAGACTATTAAGACCTAAGTAATGTGAGTTAACTAGTGTTAACTTTTTTTGCTTAGGAACAAAGAGTGGGTTAAATCCCTCAGATATGACTTACATTTGTTAAATGAATAAACATTTTATATAATGCAGTATTTTTGCATAACTAATAATTTAATCAGTTTAAATAAGTTTATTTGGACCACTGAATTAACAAAGGTTTATAAGTAAAGTTATTTGCAGTTTATCTACTTAAGCTTATTAGATAATTTTGCTTTTTCAAAAGTTATTAGTTTTAATTACTTTATTGGTAACTGTCAAAAAATCGTATTTTGCAATTTTTCACATGCCTCATTTGCACAAAAAGCAAACTTTATGTAGTCATTGAAATCTTTAAAAGTTTATTAATGATTTTTACCTTAATTCTTGTTTTGAACTAAGTTTTTTTTTTCCCCCATTTATAAGCTGTTCTTTTGCTTCCTCTCTTCGACATTCATCAGTATTGATGCCGAGTATTCATTAAAGGCTATTTTTAATGCAAAATCTGTCATAAGATTACATTCTACCGAATCCGTTTGCATGCTACAAAGGGATTCCTACAGCGTCTCGTTAATGGATGATTTGTGCTACTAGCTAATAAAATATAATGGCTGTGCTAAAAACTGCATGCTCAATCAGATTCTCTAAATATAAGCAAAACATTAAGAAGTTCAAAAAGTAATCGATTACACAAAATTGAATTAAAAGAGAGTGAAATTACAGTAGCTTAATAAATAGAGAAAATGATGTATAATAAATTTCAAAATGAGAAAATGTTAAAATAAATTATAAAAACAAAAGTTTTAATCTAAAGGCTATTTCTGTTAGCTTGATTCGCACTAAAAGAATGAAATAAAAAAGCTGACTTCTTGACCACAGTACTAAAAAATTGCAGTTGCTCTAACCCATTGTGGCTCAGTGTTCCACTATATGGAACACTCAGTTTGAATAGCTTCTGAAACCTTTAAATTCAACCGTAAATAGATAAAAATGCTTTTATAATATACTTTGAACTTTTCTTTTTAAACCGTAGATAGCAGCATATCACAAGGGAGACACATAACGTTAATTTATTATGTGTTATTAAAATCCATTTTTTCAAGTAATTTTTCTCTATTTTTTTAATGATATAAAAAATTTTATTTGGAGAAAAAATAAGGCATAATTTTGCTGGCTGTACTCCAAATTATTTTTTTTAATCTTTCACACAAAAAATCATACGCAGAATCATTGAATAAAACCAGGTGTTCCATTAGCGGGAACACTGCGCCTTTAGCAATCTCATGCTCTTACTAATCAGAACATGTGTGCTCTTAGGAGAGAACATCGTTGTTTCGTTTTCTGTGTTCCGTTGTTTTTTTTGGGGGGGGAGGGAATGAATTCAAACAAAGCAGCATTGAGGGCGAGGTGTGTTTTGTGTTATGAAAGCATTAATATTGGCATCTCGAAATTTTTGGGGGTAGTTTTTAGGCGGGAATTTTCATTAGTAGCTTGACTCATCTTTACTTAGACCTACGCGAAATTTTTGCTGTCCTTTTTTAGTCTCATTCCCGTTTATTTTCAATAATTGTGTAGATATTTTTCGTGTATCTATATATTATAAGCTTATTTTTCTTTTTGTTAATATTAATCGTAGTTAATTATTTTAATCTTAGTTGGTTGTGCTTCCATCAAAAGGTGGTGACTTGCTTTGAACTCAATTTCACGAAATTTAAGTAAATATTTTTGTATATAGGACTTGTGTATATAGATATTTATGTATCTCATTTATCCGTATATATTCAAGAATATTGTGTATATCCAGGAAACCATGTATACAGCCATAATACAGATTTTTTCATTCTTATGCAAACGCTTCTACTCATCTTCGTGCTTCACTGCAATGCTCGCTTAGTCACACTTTTAAAAGCTCTGGTGGTGCAGTGTTCCACATCGTGGAACACCCACAGAATTAAAATGGTATGTGAAATTTTTACGAAATTTTACTTGTATACTCCTTTAGGATTAAATAGACTGCATACAACTTTTTTTGTTAAAATTCCGGCGTTAACGTATAGTGCGCTGCAAAGGGGTTAAATCTTTGTTAGCCAATAAATATAAAGCAAGATATTGACAGCAACTGCAATTTTTGAGTGTTGTGGTCAAGACATATAATTGTTTTATTTTGTTTCTTTTTATTGCAAATCAAGGTAATAGAAACTGCATTTAGATTAAGAAATTCTTTATCATATTTTATTACATTTAAAATTTACATAAATTCAAATATGTATGCAAAGTAACTTGCTAAAGTTAAATATCAGATGCATGCCAAATCGGCGATTAGGTTGTTAGATAATGATTGTGATGTGGTAATTGGTTATTGTATCCCATGTGGAGTATCATTTTTTATTGGGAACCATATGGAAAGTAGGTGACTGAATGAGCCCTGCTCAGTACTTACCATTCACTGTTGTGAATTACACCCTCTATTTTGTATCTAAGCTTTATTAGAAAACATTTATTTATCCTGACTTGCATAATGTTTTGAAAGATTTGGAAATATTTTTGGATATATAGAACCATGTGGTTGTTTACAACATCTAAATTTGAGGAACCATGGATAGCAGATTTTTTTACTGCTGGGTTCCTGGACATGAGCTGGCTAACATAATAGCAAAGTGGGCAGTGGAAATGTCCGGTCGATTCATACCTTTTAATGATATTGAAACTTATCAAGAATAAAATCCAAATTAAATGACAGCTACTTTGAGATGCACAGTTACATAATAAATTGATAAGCATAAAACCTAAAATGCAGGATTGGGAGACTGCTAAAAACAGGAAGGAGAAAATTTTTTTAACACAGCTTAAAATCATAATGTAGGTTACTGTATTTTAATATATATGTAAATGATGTCATGTTTTTGCGATTTTGCTGCTTTTACATTTGAACTCGTTCATTGAATTTTATGTATGTTTGCATCTTAGCATGTTATATTTACGAATTTATGGTTTTATATATTTATGTAATTTCGATAAAATAGAATTAACCCTCCAAGTGTCGCAGCATTTTGGATTTCCTCATGACCTGTTTTTAAACAGCTTCTATCAGTTAAATTTTTATTACATATTTTAGTTTATATTTTCGTAATTTTTCATTAAGATGATAAAAACGGAAAGTTCTATATCTCATGTTTTACTGGGCTGATTAAGGCAATTCAAATTGTGTTTTTCACGTCTCGAAAGTGCTGCTTAGAATATATATTAGACTTATATATAGCATTGTTCTAATATAAGTTTTTTGATACAAAAATCTGGCTTTTTCTGAAATGACATACCGTTTTTTTTCTATATTTCAAGTCTATGACTTAAATTGTACCAAAATATTAAATTTTGTAAAATTTAGTGCGAAGTTTGCAGAGAAATTCAAAAATTTATCTAGCGGTATTTTTTTTCAGTTTGCGCCATGAATAATTCAATTGGCGAACTTTTTAATATATACCAACCTATTTTCTTTAATATATGCTAACCCTTTTTACATTGTGCACGAACGGAAAAATTCACATCATTCCTACTTTCAAATAATTTTAACAAAGTGGCCTAAACCACATTTGATGTTAATATCGCTTTCAACAAATATGCTAAATTTCAACATACGCCGAAATAAAAATTCACTTATATCTTAGGAAATTTTGAATAAGACTAATGTTTTGCTGGTATGCTTAGAAAATGCTTAGAAATACATCTACTTTAAGATGACGATAAAAATTTTATTGATTATAATTCAACATTTTTCAAAAAATATTTAAAAATTATTTTAAAATGCAAATTTTAAGAATAAATCGTAAAAAATGGGCGAATTTTATTTGTAATGAACCAGAATTTCAAAAAATGTGAAAGGAAGAATTACTTAAGTTTTATTAAAAAAGAGATTAATAAATACAGTACAAAGTCCGAAATACAGATGTCCAATATCCAGAATTATCTAAAATCTGGACCTCAAAACCACCAACAAGTTTTTCTCATAGGCTTTATGCATGCACATTTGTTTCCTACCCTTCGTGC